TGGAGAGCGCGGCGGGGCGTGCCCCTCGGTACTTCGATATGGACGGAGGAGGCGCCGCCATGATGTTCCCAGTCTCGAGAGTAAGCCTTAGGTATCAGTCCGGATATATTGGGTGCGTGCGCTGAAGCCCGATTTGTTGCTTGCAGCCGAACGTACGAGAGGTCCAAAGAAACGAGATGGTAACAATATGCAGAGATATACGGACATGAGCTATAGGGGTGAAGAGTAATATAGTCATAGACAACGTCGATTCTTTGCATGAACGTTGCATGAACAGTCCAAACAAGAAGCACATCTCAGTAGCACATCTAACAGACCAAGAAATATTCCGCAGTCGCATCCGTAGCACGACCATGAGGCGCAACGGTGCAGTCAGACGGCGATTACCTCTGGCGAATGCGACATGCTTCTCCCACACCACCCACAGCCATCAAAAGCATCGGCGCGCCAGCTTCAAAACCACCGATGTTCCACAACTTGGCTTTACGCCACAGAGCTTTTCGTGCGCGTCCGATGGCGTCTATTAATATGTACCGGGTAGACCCTGAGCTGTCAGAGGTGGGTAGCTTCGTTATGCTGCATGCGCGCACTGCAGCGACTCTCGTGTTGTGTGCAAGGTTATGCAAAGTCAGCGACATAAGCGACAATGAGGTCGGTGATTACGCTGGGGAGCCGAGCGGCGCTGCGAGGTCATTGAGTTCTGCCGAGACACATCAGGCAACATGTCAGAGGGCTGTGAGGATTTCTTTCCAAAGTGAAGATGATGCAGATGATGGAGCATGACGCGGAGTGACGTCTCAGGCACTCAGAAAAGCTGGTGGAGGATGTTGGCGACGAGAAGAGAACGGAAAAGCAAGTGGGCCTTGGCTCTAGCGTGACAGGATTGCTGACGTGCTCAGAATTACGCATCATGTGAATGGCATGTCTTCGCCTCGCCACTTGCTTGTCCCGTCACAACAAACCCAGTTATGCATTCGTTGCAAGAGGCCCTCGACTGAAAGTACAAAGATGTCGCGATTCGCATCTGCATCATTCTATAGTCATGAGAATTTGATAGCATCCCAATGTCAGCCGCCGGCCCGACATCGCAGCTCAACACATCGTCATGACCGCTCATCACATTTCGACCCCGCGCGACCCTCACATCGCCTAGTCAGCCCTGCACAACAGCAGCAGCCCCTACATTCAGGACGAAGGCGTTCTGGATGCGACACCTCAATGCGGGTGATCGCCATGATCCTCTCAGGGGGCCCACTCGAGGCAAGCAAGCCCTTCCCGCGGCGGATAGCACGCATAGCCATCTTGGAATGCAGGTACGGTTTCAAAGACTTCTAGCTTCGCTGGTCTTTTGTCAAATTGCGGGGTGCATTGTTGTTCAACAGGGGAAGAGTGGAGGCGACCGCAAAAGCAAACGGCGCCCCTGAACCAAGAATGGCAGGACGGATCTGCAAAAGCAAAGTCGCATGCCATACAAGCATGACCCTGAACAGGTCTGGGGCCTACATCAGTATGGAAACATGCGAAGTAGGTGATACAATGTCGGTGTAGGCTCCAGGCCTGTTCGGATTGTTCATACGCTGATGTGGTCGGGACGCCAAGCTATGTCGCAAAACGACCACAAGCCTTCATATCGCGGCTTGATGCTGGCGGTCGAAAGAGGGGTGGAGTTCAACCGTTGCTCATTGGGATGCAACAGGTATGTCACAATCAGCGGGCCGCGGGTCATGACTTAGAACCTGTGGTGGAGACGGCGGATCAGATACCAGAGCCTAGAGATCGACCCAACATGCGACAGGAAAGAAGACATTGCGAACTACGTCAACATTACTTCCACATTCGCCTGTGTTGATGTGCCGATACTGGTACTCTTGTTCCTCCTTGAGATGGTCTTTGGCCAACATGAAGTGATCTTGTGGGCTCGCGCTCGAATTTGAAGTCGTTTCGCGAGGGACTTTGGGTGTGTACGTTGGTGGGTTGGTAAGTCGATAACGGTGGTTCCAACATGAAGTAATGGTAATTAATCCTTGTTAAGGCGGGTACTTCGATCTGTGCAGTGTATTTGGCGTATCCGTATGAGATCAAAAAGCTGGACCAGTGTTTTTGGGTCGACGATTGTACTTGATGTCAACGTAGCTTTGAGGCTAAGGTAGAAGATCCGCCCTCGTGCAGCATACATCAACATGAAAACAGACAAAGCTAGCGACCTAGCGTTAAAGTAGGCTCCAGGGTGCTCAGGCTTTCCTCGAATGAGGTGTAACCACAAGGTACGCGACAGGGATCAAGTATGCAAGGCAAAGCTGGTTTTTAATGAGCGTGGGGTATATTGACTACAGATAACAAGAACTACGTGATGAATACAAGTAAAATCAGATAGAGAAAGAGCAGAAGTACAACCAAACCATCTCAAAGCCGCCCTCTTTCACCTCAAGAAAGCTTCCCAGGCCGAGATATCGCCAACGACGCCAGCCACATAGCTGAGCTCACAGCTCTGGGTTTTTAATGTCCCACGCTGTTGTAATCGCGTCATATTTCGCCACACAATCTTCAAGACATTCGATGAGGGGGACGTTGCAGTATGCAACCGTTCCGAGCGTACGCAGTTGCTCTCTGGTCATCCCAACATTTTCGAAAACTACACGGTTGTCCAAGGCGTTCAAGCGACGGCATACACCAGTGCAGAGGTTGAGCGAGTGGGTTCTGAGCACAGGTCTCTCGTTTTTGTCGGGAGCAGGCCATCCTAGCAACCTTGCGTCGGCCTCAACCATAGCGGTCTTGGCGCAGTCAGAAAGAGCGATGTTGCACTGTGAAAACCTGACCTCCTCAAGTGGCGTATCTCCAATCATGGATTGGCCGTTGATAGGGGTAGGGTCACTGCCCTTAGTCGCGATGCACTCTGACAGCTTCTGGAGGAGGGGGTACTCGCTGAACCGTTCCTGGGCCTTGAGCGGCACTACAGCAGTCACCATGAAGGTGTTCCCGGCCAAGATTTCGAGGGCTGTTTCTTCATCATCCATGGAGGAGCGTCGGACCGTCTTGACTGGGGAGACATCTGCAATAGCGGGCTCCTGGAGAATTCCAATTAGATTGGCCCGAATACATAGTGAGCGTGTAAGACATACCTGGAACGCCTTCGTGGGGATCAGCGCAGCGGTAGCAACAAGGCTACCGAAGGCCACCGCAAGGTAGCGAGAGTGAATCATCGCAAGTCACAAGCAAGTAGTGTTGTTGAGACTTCGATGAAGACGGTGGAGACCGTCGAAAGGGTTGAGGTAGTGGAGATGGTGGAGAGTGTTGAGATTGTTGAGTAGGTAGAAGATCGAATCAGGAGTGTGAGTTGCGATAATCACTCATCGTCCAACTGGACTCGGTTTATATACGTGCTGTTGTCCATACCCAAGAGTCCGATCCCGAGCCCTCGGAGTGCGTGGGCAGAGCGGATATGTACTGCTCATAGCCGTAAGAAAACCTCGGTTTGAACCGGTGAATCGCAGTACTGATAACCCTTCTGGCGTGTGCGCCAGCCATTCAGGTCAAGCACGGGATTGAATTCTTTTGGTCCGGGGCCAAAGACGTCTGACCCTGGATATTGTAATGGTAATCATCCACGGATAGGAGGCCTTGTCTGTTATCCGATGTCGATGAAAATCTGCGCCGCTGTCATTTATTGGATCATTCTCCCAGTTTTCGTTTGGATGACAGGTTGACCTGGATAGAGTAAGGTGCAGTACGTCAACGCAAAAGCAGGGGCATGACAGCTTGAAGCAGCTATGACAGTTACAGTACCGAGACGTTCAGCCGGCGAACTCGCACATTGACTAAAAGATTGATTTCATATCCTTATGGAGTCACATCAATCGTAAGATCACAGTGCCATCTTGAGTTACTGTGCTTCCCACTATTGCGGTCGTGGTGGGTCGCGCATTCAAGGGTTGCTAAAAAAAAGGTTGGAATAAACCCACGATAGTTTGACCGTGTAAAAGGGTCTGAGCTCTTTGGGTCCCCAATGTCCGAGGATCAGAGTTGTCCCTTTGACTCTCCATCATAGATACCACAGAACGAAGGACGTGGGTGAGCGATTGGTTCGGAATTTGACAAACAGGCTGCAGGGCGAGAAAGTGGGCGCAATGATACAGACCGGTGGTTCTAGATTGCGCAAGTACTTGTCATATTGCGGCAATCTAGCTACCTCGTTGATTGTGCACCCCGTATTTGTTGCATGCCTTGCAGTAATCAGTGTTACCAACATGCCTGCGGGGTAGATTTCGTCCTCATGTTCAGCGGTCATGATTTTGCTCACTCCAGCCATTGAGACTTTCCAGAAAGAATTCGTGTCCGAGAAGGGGACACGATCACCCAATGGCGATAGATCGTGGTAGTATCTTGTTACGCAAGATCAAGAATACCCTTCATTCGTAGTGTTGCCATGTGGGACGCTGGCGCGCCTTTTTGGTGGTGGAAGTTAGCATCCAATCTTAATCCTTTACAAGAGCGAAACCGAAGACACTCACTGTATTCTTTTCTACACTGATCAATTTGTGCTCTATTATCAGATCGCGTTCTTTCTGGACTTGCTATCCACCCACTAGGCTGTCATCATGCGGCTCTTCGCATGGACACATGCCGTCTTACACGTCTTCGATGTTGTCAATGCATCCGCATGCGTTGCTTGTTCGAATGAGACAAGGAAGGAACCCGTTTCGAACATAACTACACAGGATATCGGATTGAAGGGAGATTATTTCGACAACGAATGTGCCAGAAGTCCCTATTGTAAAACCACGGATGTTCCGGGTACCTACGACTGGAGCAACGACTGCCCAAACTTTCCCAGGATCACCGAACACCTATGGCAACAACATCGGCACGAGGACGCATTCTTCTTGAGAAAACGTCTCAAGGAGTATCAGCGTATGCAAAGGGCAAGGAAACTTGAGGGCGATGAGATCACTTTCCCTGCCTTTTTGGCGAAGCGATACGCTCCCAATCTACCACCAAGCAACATGCTCTGTGATGGTATGGGCATGTGTAGAGTAAGTAGTTCACATCCAGCTTGCATTCTAGCTCACTCTAACGTCATCAACAGTCTCCAAGCTGCAAGGACATTAGCACGAGGCACACTCCCGCTGAACAACGAGCAGTCATGTTGTTCTTCGAGTTCGTCTCTGGTCTCGACCATTCCTTTCACATCACCAGCGAAGCTCTCCAGGATCATTACAGGCACATTCTCGAAGACATCGATGCCCTTACGAGGTGGTTCACATATGCAGACGAACAACAAGACGCCGCGGTCAAGAAGGATGAGAAGAAGAAGAAGGCACTAGCTGCTATGGAGTTGGCGTTCGGAATCATCACGGCAGTCTTTCAACTATTCACCACAGCCGCCAATATGGCGAACTACAGACCCGACGTAATCACCAATTGGGTAAAGAAAGTCTCTTTGTTCAACAGAACGGCTTCGAGGTGGCAGCGAACTTTGGAATCGACGGCCAAAAAGCTGCCAAAAGGATTCGCGAAAGTGTCGGGGTTCAAACATTGGGCAAGTCGGAGGACGCCGAAACCGAACGACGATGGTACACCTGGGGAGGCATATGGTCTGCTCATGCCCAAAACGATCGAGAACGCTCAGAGTAAGCTAGAGCTTCGAACGCAAAAGATTGAACTAACACTAAGCAGAGTTGTGGACCATCACCAGTGGGGGCTGGCTAGGTTCGCAAGCTTTGACCAAAGAGGTAGTCAAAAAGATTGACCACAAGAAGGATTTGTAAGTTGCGCGTGCTGTACCTTTGACAACGCAAGTGCTAACATCAAGAAGGAAAGGGTATGACAAAACCCTAGAAGCCGTACGCGCAGCACTCGCCGATATCGACAGCAACGCAGTCGAAGAAGCCCGAGATGGAATGGCAATCCTCGCGTCGGGCTACAGAAGTCGCAATGGCCACGATATCGTCGAACTCTTCGCCAAGGATTTCTTCTACGGCGCCAACGTCCACTTCCGATCCTATGTCGACTTCGTGATCGGAATGAAGTCTTACGCAACCATCATAAGCGCTTTGTGGAAAACCGAAGGCGTATATGTCGTCGCGAGCTGGGCTAAACCCGGCGGTGACTGCGACCAAGACGACCGTGGACCAGCCGAAAACAAGATCTGCCTCGAAGAACGCCCCGACAGGTCGTACTGGGTGTACGCAATGACGAACTGTAAGGACAAAAAGATGCGCAGTCCACCCGGATGGGAGTATCTCAACAGTGAAGAAGGCTTCCACGGCCTCTTCGCTAGCGACGTGGTCCGATCTGCTCTTTATAAAGACGAGGTCTACTGGCCGAACCGAAAGAAGGAGGAACACGACAGTAACTCCACAGGTTCAGCATCTTGCCCATCAGTCAACAACGATCAGATGCAGAATGTGACTGCCCCGGAACCGGTGAATTTGGATGGCCAGGGACCACCGGACACGAATATGACGAGTTCATCAGGCTCAAACTCTACCCACTTTCCAGGAGAGGTAGATTATCTGGATGACTACGGAAACGCCCCCGACGGCTTCGACATTGCAGTGTGTTACAGCTGGGACGGCGAAGCCATCTCTAGCACCGGCAGCACGGACAACCAGAACGCGCCTTGCCAATGCGATCCCATGAACCCCACATACAAGGCGTCGTGGGCTGCACCCACCAACTGGACAATGGCAGCGACCAAGCACTTCATCAAAGACAGCGGCTTATACAACTTCGACAACTTCGGCAAGAAGTGCCACGACTGCGAAAGGATGGACACTAGCTGGAAGGCATTGCTAGAAGTTGACGACGAGGAGAAACCACCGAAGCATATGAAGAAGGCCTGGTTTGGCGGCTGCGACCCTAACCATCACAAATCGCATCCGCTGGGACCGAAACAGCTTACTCAGCCTAAATCGAACTCGACCAACTCATCATCTGTACCGCCAGGTTGCGAACCAACGCAAGCGCCGACACCCACTCGAGAGCCCATCATGCAAGTTACCACCCAACTGCTTCACGAGGAGACACGCTATCCGAAGAATACGCCCAAGAACATAACGTCGCAAGGCGCATGCAACGGGCCATACTGCATCGTGGATGTCGTCTACGAGATCCAGGAGTCACACTTCAACTACACCATCGACTCCTCTGTCCGAAACGGCGAGCACGGCTGTGATCCCGGCGACAACAAGTGCATTGAGCAATCTGCCCATGACATATGCGATTTCATCGATGATGATGAAGATGATGAAGAAGCCAAGGCTAAGGAGGACGCGGAATGGGATCGAGAAGAGGTCGGTCCAGACGACGACGAGTACGAGGACTTCATCCAGGAGGACCCCAAAGGCAACGGCACAACCCCAGGTAACGACAAGACCCAAAACGACGGCACAACTCCCGGCGACAACGGCGTTCCAAACAACGGCACCTCCCCCGACAGCCAAGACAAGAAGAAACCCGACAACGAAGCCATGAAAGCCTTCAAAGCATGGCTCAAGATGCACGACAAACGACAATCATGTGTGTGCGGCGGAAACGGCAAGAACGGCCAACACGGCATCCATTGTTTCCCAGGACCTGTCGCCACGAGAACCACCACGATCAAGGGCCGCATGAGCCAGACAGCCAATCCGTTGAGTCCTTTAGCTGCTACACCCACTGGAGCCAGAGGTGGAAGTGCGGCTGCAAGTGGGACTGGCAATGTGGTGACCAACGTTGTCGCCACGAGTGATGTGTGGGTCGACGCGCGAGAAATATCTGTTGAGATGCCGAGTCTGGGGACGCCTACGGAGACGGCGATGTTTCTGACGGGTAGCTACGCTTCGATCGCTACGTATGGGGCGGGGGGTATGGACTGAGATCTTGCGGGTGCGGCGGGTGGAGCTCGGGGTTGACGGCTGCTGAACAGGCCGGGAGTCTACATCAACGTTGGGTCGCCTGCTTTGCACGTTTTCAGGTTGATGTAGGCTGCAGACTTGTTTGGGTTTTTCGTAGGTTGACGTCAACAGAGGGTTTTGATTACGGCGTTCTTCTTTCATCGGTACTCCATGGTTCTCTGTTAATGGGGAGAGCTTGGGTACAATGCTTTTCGCGCGGGTAGGAGTCTGGGATTGGGCCGGAGTACTGGGCTGGGACGGAGTCTGGGGCGTGTTTGCTGACTTACTCTTGATACTGATGTCTCGTCCATATCAATCGAGTTTGTCCTAAATTTGCTTTGACAACATGATGACCGTACACACTGTGATTTTTGGAAGGCGACCGAGTGAGAGCGTCGCAGTGCAGGGAGATGGAAGCGTTCCGCGCGAGGTAGCAATAAGATGAGGTGATGGTGTAGATAAAACTGATCATTATGCCATGCCATGCCATGCCATGCCATGCAATGCCATGCAATAGAAGTAATATGAAACGCCCCAGCACTTGGCGACGTCTGATCCAAACAACCGGAAAAAGAAGAAGAGATGAGACCTTTGACCAGCAAAAGGGTCGAATGCGAAGAACATTCGAACGGAAAAGAGTAGAGGGTATCATCGCTGCCGTGTATGCGCGAAATGGGGAAATGAAGAAGAAAACATTACCAAGAAAGATGTGAAGAAACTGCAAAACGCCAGAAATGCCGAGATTAACCAGACGCCGCCATACCCTCAGTCGTAAGAGCGAATTGAACGACGATCAGTCGTCCGTAGCATTCATCTTCCCCATCTCCAACCCCACCTCATCAGTCTTCATCCTCTCCCCATCGGGCCCCCTCCGTCCACCCCCCACAAACCCCCATAGCCCAATCGCCGCAACCCCCCAAGCAACAACCACAAAAGGAACCATGACCGCCCTTCCAGCAATCTCAATCCCGCATTGCATGCCATAGTCTTCCCTGACCATACCAGCACCTTCAACACCCGCGAGTTCGCAGGCCCAGGTTTCGAGATCAAAGGTACCGAAGTTGTAGCGGAAGAAGGCCGGTGATTGCTGGGTTGAGGGGGAGGCAGTGTCGTTCATGCGCGAGGCACGGAAGTTGACGAAGCCTTCGCGGAAGTGGGAGGTGTTTTTGTGGGTTACATAGATGGAGACGAGGGCGAAGAGGACGAGGATGGCGTTGGTGATGTGGAGGAACATTATGTTGCGACGGAAGGCGTATGATTGCGTCTGTGGATAGATTAGTTAGAAGTGGTCTTTCGTCTTGTGGGTGACTAGACATACCCTGTTGCCCTTTTTCCAATCTGTTGCGACGAATCCTAGGTGTGCGGCTGCGAGACATATGCTTACGGTACCGGCGATAATGGCTAGTTTTGCTGGTACTGCGTACAGCATCCGAGGTAGAGCGGCCATGATGATGGCTTCGCCGGGTTCGCCATTCCTTCCTGTCGTCTGGTATTCAAATCCGGTCATACGATTGTCCTCGACGAAGCTATAGGTTAATGCCTTGAGGGCAATGACCGGGACTGCGATGATGAGTAGTAAAGAGAGAGAGATGCTGTATAGCAGCCTCGCAATGCGGTGGTGCGGACATGAGCTGGTATTGAGCGGCTGGTTGAAAACTGGTGGATCATCCTCCTTGATCTGCTTGGTGTGGAAGAGCGATGTGACCTTGTCAGCTGCCGGTGGGAGGGTGAATTTGACTTTTGTCATCTTGGCGGTAATCCCGTTTCGACCCTTCACAGAAGAACGAAGTGGAGAAAGGTAAGTATGCTACGAGCGAGAGTATTGGGCGTTAATTGACTGATGTCAAGGAGACCGAAGATTAACATAACATCTGCTCACCGCCGAGACATTGGTCCCAAGAGACGCATGCTTGGATAGTCGCCCGTACCGCATCTATTCCTACCTCATGATGTCGGCTGAGAGAACATCGGCCTGTCAATGCTATCCTACCAGCATAGGGCTGCTTCGTGGCAGCTGTCAAGGATTCGCTTGAACGGTCCAGTACATTTCCGGCCTGTTGTAGATGAATCGCAATGCAACTGACAGGTGTCAAACGGTCGGTTCATCGTGTATTGGTCGTCATGATGTGTCGCGACGGGAAGTGTGTGAGATGCGCAACGCGCACGCTCCACCTACTGCACCGATGATGGTTCTCGCACGTCGCAATAACACCGGCTATTATGTGTTAGAGATATCGCTTGGGTATTCGCGTAGTTTTCATGGCGATTGAAGCGGGTGTTGACAATATATCAAAGTCGATAGAGGTTGATCTGTCCATGGGTCGCATGGAACACGCATGGAATACCCAGCACGCTGTGTCGATCCTCCGCATAACGATTTGCATCGAGAAGACGCGTCCTGTATCTATTATTGTCCACGAGTTCAGTAATTGTCAGGCTGATGAGACGGTACAAACTGTAGGCTATAGCGAGAGGGTCTATGGAGAGTTTCAGTCGAGGGCGACGCTGTGGCGAGCAGACTCTTGATGTTGCTAGAGATCGGTATGTTGTGCATTGTGCATTTTGCGCTGCGCGTACAGCATGTGAAAGCAGAGTGGGGAGTCAGCCGTAGATGCGGGTGGTGAAGAGAAGAGGGTGGCAGTGGTGAAGGATGGCGAGCGGCGGTGATGTCAGACCCTGGGCGCTAAATGTCGAGGAGTCGCGATCAGCCGTCGACGCGTCCACGAGACATTTCAACCGACAACAACAATTCCCCTCTACAACCCACCATGGCCTTCACAGCGCTCAACAATAAGCCATCGGCACCCATTGTACCCGTGCAAGCACCTGCAGCACCTGCATTATCTGCCCCTGCCCCTGCGCCGGCAGCAGCACCGACGCCCGTACCCCATCCACAAGAAATCGATGTCGCTTTCGCTAGCAATCACGAGCTGCGTAAGCGCGTGCACGCCGCGATAGGTATGCGACGCCATTCTCAAAGTTGACTTATGCTAACATGCCCCAAGACCAAAACCCTACCCAAAGCACACTTTTCCGCGACATTTCGACATACATCCTCAATCAAACCTCGCAGCCCGCTGCTGAGCCAGCGACAAAGAAGCGCAAGATCGAAGAGAGCGTTGCCCCGCAGAATGGCGCATCAACAACAGGAGGAGGCAGCCTTACGAGCACTTCGACGAAAGCATTCAAGACATACCCAGCTGTCAGCTTCTCGATACCACAGCGGAAGAAGTTTACCCTCGAGCTACTCGACAAGAAGGATGGTGGCATAAGAGCCATTGGCGCAAAAGGCAACGTCGAATTTTCCATCGCGTGGAAGGACGTCGACCAGGTCTTCTGCCTGCCTATACCCGAGAAGGCGAAGAAACAGCATCATTTCGTCATTATACCAGTGCACGGCGATGGAGTGGCCCCCGTGCCAGAAGAAATGAAGGGCTCACCGCCAGAGCCAATCTTGTGGACCTTCGAGGAGGCGACAGGGAAGAACATCGTTGAAGGTGAAGACCCAGGGCCAACACCCATGGCTGAGGCGATACACCATTGCTTGATTCAAGCCGGCACCGGAAAGGAGGTCATCTTCCCTGACGCTGATGAGTTCGCGAGCGCAGTACCAGAAAGCCACAGGAAGGGCGAGAAGGCATACCACGTCAAGGCGCACAGGGGAAGCAAAGAGGGTACGTTGCACGCAAACCTCACAAACTGAACCCCAGCTAACACAGTCTAGGCTACCTCTTCTTCACCTCCGTAGGCATCCTCTACGGCTTCAAAAAGCCCCTCGCCTTCTTCGACTTCGCCTCCATAGAAAGCATATCCTACACTAATGTCCTGCGCAACACCTTCAACATCGTCTTCACCACGCCCAACTCTGGCGACATCGAATTCAGCATGCTCGACCAAGCAGACTTCGCCGGCATAAACGAGTACGTCCAGAAACACAGTCTGCAAGATGCCAGTCTGGCTGCAGACCGACGCGCAAAGAAGCTCAATGTGAATAAGGTGGGTGGCAAGAAGGAGAACGGCGCAGCGGTCGAGGAGGCCGGTGGTGAGGAAGAGGAGAGCGAACTACAAAAGGCGGAGAGGGAGTTGCAAGACCAGGAGGATGACGAGGAAGAGGACGATGACTTTGATCCTGGGAGTGAGGGCGAGAGCGAAGGCTCAGGGTCCGACAGTGAAGATGAGGATGGTGAGGGTGGTGGGTATGAAGAGGGCGATACAGCGGAGGTCGAATACGACGAAGCGGACGATGACAAGATGGAAGACTAGGACTCATCCTTCAAGAGCGCCGTATTCAGAGTTATGGAAGTCGGTGTGGTACACTAACATTTTACTACTTCGTATACCCTTGCCAGTATTCCATTCCCTTCACAGTCGCGTGATCGAGATGCTGCACTCCGCCAAGAACAATACAACGACCTCTCATCGCACCCAAATGCACTACAGCTAAAATACTGTACCCTACACTCCACCTCGGTTTAACCAAACACTTCCCTCGCACGACCGGCACAATGACATTCCCTCAGCTCTCACACCTACCCATGGCAACGCACATGAAACACTTCAGACTATCCATAGCATTTACCCGGCCGCATGCGCAGACACAACCCGCGACACCGCCACGTCTACATCTCAGACGTCTCTGGTTCTCGAATTTGCTGAGTAGCCGGTGAGCATACTCATCCCGACCTAGGGAGAATGTAGTGCGTGCCACGTGGAAGACGAGAAGCGGTCACTGCCAGTAGTTGTATAACGTGGTTTACAGGGCGGAAACGAGCCTCTTGATCATGAACACGCGCATGAAGCGATAGCTAAGCAGCTAAGCACGAAGACGATGATTATGTTGACATGGCACGGAAGGCTACTGATACGAATTGGGAACGTGCTGGGACCCGAGGTCGTGCTGGTATACGTATATCGGGTTCTACGCGAGTATGCAAGAGTTTTGGATGGCAAGATGAGAGAGACTGGGGTGAGTTGGAGAGCTGAGACGCGCGTAAGGAAGCTCGAGTTTTTGGGAAAGAATGCCAGACGCATCGAGGCTGCGATATGGCAGTCGCGAGCCACCACAACGCGTGGCTCCGTCTTGAGGGCAAGGACGTCACGAACTTCACTTGTGGACTATCTCACCTCAGCTCAAACCATATCGAGCGACATATCTCTTCTCAACCCGACGCCCTTTGAGTTATCACTACACGGAACCTAGACAATCTACACTACACCTCCTCACGATAACCACCTACACAACGAACCACACACCTACACGCGCGCGCGCAACACCCCCAGACTCACACCAACCTACGACCCGCGCCGCCCCCAGTTTTGGTAGCAATGAGCATCCTCTTCCTAGCCTGCCTCCTAGCAATCTGTCTCCCAATCCTCTCGGTACAACTCCCCCGCCTATTCCCCCAACTCCACCTCCATCTCCCCCACTTCCTCCTTCCGCGCTCAGACATCCTTGCAGAAAACCGATCCCCGCTACACCAACGGCCACCATCCCTACGACGACGCCTACGACCGCGAAGGCCAGCCCCAACGCCGCGAAGTCAAGAACAACAAGGGGGAGGGCAAGCGACGGACGGTGCGGATAGTGGAGCCAGATCAGAAGAGGGACAGGAGGACGAGGGAGGGGAGACTGGAACGGGGTCAGAGGAGATCCATCGACAGCCGACGAAGGTATTGAAGGTGGAGGGAAGTGGGAAGGGGAAGGGGAGGGCGGATGGGAGGGAGACGGGGAGGAAGCCTTGGGATCCGCCGGTGAGGATGGGGATAGGACGGAGGGGATTCGGGATGGGAATGAGAGTGGGAATGGGGAGTGAGGGGTTTGATGTCCCGAGTACGCCGCCGAAGAAGACGGGGAGGGAGATGGAAGCGAAGGGTGTTGCGATTCGATTGTTTCCTCCGGATGGGGAGGGCGGGTATATGTACGACCAAGCGCCAAACAACGAGATACCCGGACCGAATCGCGAGACCACTCCCCGACCGACACACACGTCTACTCGCTCCCCGCAGGACGTTACCTACGACACCCCTTCAGACCACCCACCCCAACACAGGAAAAGCAAGCGCAAACCGAGCGCCATGTCCGCCCTCTGGACATGCATCGCCATCCTAGCCTTCCTCCTCTTCATCCTACTTTTCGCAATCCTAATCGCACACTGTCTAGCCTGGTTCCTCGTATACAAGACCGAAGCCAGATTAGGAGAAGCACGGCGCGGCATCATGCAAGGCGGAGAGATGAGGTTATGCTTATGCGCAGCATAAGTGTGGAGAATGAGATTCGCTATTGGTTGTAAATGAGGACTCGCACCCGCTATAAACGCTAGAATGGAGATGGAAACATATTGCTACCACGACGGACACACTGTCTGTCAGGTAAGAGACGAGTGCTAACAACACTCATGGCGTTCGCCGTTGGCAGCTGGTGCATGACCCGTTCTTTCTAACAACTCTTGTTCCTTCTGCGGAGACCGTGGTGGTGTGGACTTCTCGTCGTCCTTGCTCTCCAGCATCGAGTCGATGCCAAACTGGCCATTCTCATTGAGACCAGAATTAGTCCTGCGAATCGCATCCGCCATAGCATGAGCCGCAACGTTCGGCCTTTCGACCTGCCCAGCATGCTCCGGGTCCTCAGGCGGGTTAAACAACGCAGCCTCATGATCGTCAAAGTCCTGACCAGGGTTGACAGTCTCATACTCCACCAGCTTAACAATACGATACATGCCAAACGCCAGCAGCGTACCCATCAGCGGCCCAAACCAGTAAATGTAATGATACTCCGGGAAGTTGTGCGTAGCAACGCAGGGCCCGAAGCTCCTCGCAGGGTTCAGGCTGCCACCAGTGAAGAACACGCCGACCATTTCTGCGACGAAAAGGGCGAGGCCGATGCCGATCGGGGCCAGGAAGGTGGCTTTGTGCTTCTCGGCTGCGAGCATGAAGATGGTGAAGACGAGGAGAGAGGTAAGAAACATTTCGAGGAAGACGCCGCGGGCGGCGGAGACGCCTGCGCCGAGGGTGGTGGATACGTTGAGGGGGCCTGGGATGATGGCTTGGATTACGCCCGCGGCGGCCATGCCCGCGAGCATCTGGGAGACGAAGCAGAGGCATGCTCGGATTGTTGGGACGGCGCCGATGAGCCAGAGGCCGAGTGTTACCTGTGGGTGTTGTCAGTGTCGTTCACACCACGAGTTGGTTCTAGCAGGCTGGCTTACGGCAGGGTTAAATAGTCCTCCGCTCACTCTGAAGAATACCCAGACGTTCACCATCAAACTGAAGCCGAAGATCAGACTGATGTACAGCAGCACACTCGTATCTGGCGCCTGTGTAATACTGTTGTTGTCCTGTCCAGAGGTAACTCGGTTGCTGTATGTCGCCGCAGTGTTGGCTACACTCGTTCCTCCGAACGCAAAGAACAAGAACATGAACGTGCCAGCAAACTCTGCTGCAGCGGCAACGAGCTCATTGCGCCATTTGTTAGGCATAAAGCTCTTTGCCTTCTGAGGACGGTGGTGATGATGGGCATTGCTGTGAGGAGTGCCCTGAAGCCGCGAAACCGATTCCTTCTTGTGCAACGGTAAGATGTTCTTGAGTACTGCCATTTCGACAGCCTAGACTGTTGAACAAGGTGACAGACTCAGATAGTAAGTAAGTAGTACTGGTATACCAAAACAGCGAGCTATACGCTACGCAAAGACAAAAAAAGGATGCCCAAAAGGCTGACAAGACAGAGAAGACAAGAACTGGATCAAGAGAAAACCAAGGTTGTGTAGCCCGCCGGCGCTGAGAGTTAAATCGAAAACTCACTAAGAACCACCCAGCCTTTCCTAACAGACATTGACGTCCTTTCTACAAGCCCCGACGCCATAATAGTCGTGCGGCGCTCGGGCGGGGGCGTACTGACGTAGCCCGGGGGCCGTACTTGGGTTAACAAGTGAGACTGACGGTTCACCCGTGATGGCGTTTGATGGCGTTACGGGGCGTTCCAATAACGCAGCACGTACCGTCTCACATCTTTGCGATACTGCGCGAGGGCCACGATCACGGTGTTCAGCACGTTCAAGCCACACAGGTCGGCAATCAGTAATCCCTGCGTGAAACCCTTATCCCCGATCCATGGATTTTGGGGGGCAGCCCGCGGAGGGGGCATCGGTGCATGATGCGGCGGCCCCTGCAGTGTGAATGGCTGCGCGTTCGTGATGCTGTAGATCTGGCGGAGGGGAGGGGGAGTTCAGATCGCCGGCTAGAAGCGAGCGCTAGACTGTATGCGGGTGCAAGGGACTTGAGCTAGCAGGCATGATGTCATGGAAAACGTTAATTCTCCAGATCTTCATCCCTTTGGCAGTCTGTGGGTTATGGGGGGCTGAGGCCGCCATGCGCGTTCATCACAATTCCCATTCTCAACATGCAGAGGATCTACGACTTATCGAGGAGAGTGCTGTTCGCCTTGCGGCCCAGCTTTGTGATTGCTACCCCGTGAACACGATCGCAATGCGGGTACCAACGACCTCGCCTATCCGATGAACCCACAAACGGAAACGTCTTCCATCATGATCGCTTCGCACCGTGCGCAGATTTTCCCAGTCCAGTCGCTAATCACCCAGAAATATCCCCCTCGACGGAGAGGTCTCCACTAACTGCAAGCGGCCCCGGGGGGATGTTGAGACACGGAAACGGATTAGCCCCGTCCCCTGCGAACTTGTAATCGTGGAACGCTTCTGGAGCACCAGCGCGCGATGACGAGGGAAGGATCTGCACGGAATGGGGGGTGGCTAACGTCGATCGAGGGGAGCTGGGAGGGCAAGGCGGAGATGGGAGGGGGGCAGGTGAACCTTGGGATGGTATACAGAGTTTGGGGTATGTGGTCACATCGTAAAGGGATGCATTGATCGCATTGTATCGATCTGGACTGAGTTTATCGCTGAAATGGGTTTGCAGTCAGTTTGCGGCGGCTAACTTTACAGCTTTTTCAAGGTTGATACCTGTTCCTCAAGCAAGTATGGTGTTCCTCGGCTTCGAAAGTTTCTCCTCACTACCGACTTCAGGGTCTACTTCTCTTTGTTCAGAGTCGTTTGCGGCCACACGTGCTACACGTGCTTCGCGATCTTCTGCGACAGATTGCGACGCTTCCCGCTCGTTGTAGTCGAAGCTTCATTACTTCCACTGCGTTATCTGGTTGTTGGCGATCTTTTTGACTAACTTTCTCTCGGCCACCTGCACTCCGACCACCTGCATCTTCATCAACGCATCTCCGCCTCTGGCTGCATGTATGCCTTACCTCCTGCATGTTGCCGAAGAGCGTCGATTCATGATCTCCGACATGGCGCCGTCGTCCTGGCCGTCCAAAGTCTTTTAGATCCTCGTCTGTGTACTCGGCATCGTCGATTTCGAGACTATCCCAATCGCTCATTTCCTCCTCTTCAGGCTCTATTGAAGTTTCAGAGCCCTCGCCATCATCTGCAGGCATACCTTGTTCCGCTTGAAGCATTTTTTGACAACCGAGTTCGGGGCTGCGAGTCGGACTAGATTTTGTGCTTGTAGTTTTGCGACACAGGCCCTGCATGATTGCTACCGATGTGTTGCAATGTATCGGGGGTTAGAGGCAGCGGCTGGGAAGTTGTTCTTAGCAGTGTCGCTAGAATCCAAACAACGTATAATTATCAATATTTCGTACGCTGTGAAGTCCGCGAGGCAGCCATCATTGCTCTGTGAAGCAAGGAGACGAGACGTGGCTAAGCCACATAAATGATTTGTGTATGTACAAGCTTCACTTTGGCTCTAAGATCATCTCAGCACAATATCACAACGCTATGTCACCAGTGACGTGGATACTCCTCGTGGTTTATGCTATCAGCCTTTGAATACGAAGACAGTGTAATATGCGTCAATATATTGCAGGCGGAATCGTGCATCTTCAAAGACTGCCAACAATTCAAGTCCGTTCAACTGTTGTTATTGGTAGTTGAGCCAGAATCAAGATGAGTCTTACAACATGTGTTAGTCCACGCGTTCAAAACTCCCCATTTTCTTGTTTCGCGACAGCCGACGCGTGGATTGTCTTGGTATGTGAAATCAAAAGGTCATGCAAAGATTACTGCGGCATTGTGTCCAGTTGTGCTGACACTTTAGACCAGTGACGAATGAATACGACCTTTACATCTGCGGTTTATGTACCGGTCGCCATTTCTTCCGTATGCATCCCTCCTCATACGGCTAATTACGCAGTTCTAATACTTTCAAGGCTTGCTCCGCATGATCCCAGCCTGGTAGGTCTCCATACGTTCATCAGCTATCCTGGGTATCCTAGTCAACACCAAAACCAGAGAAACATCATCTGCCCTGATGAGGCAGTTTGTATATTGCGACAGCACTTAGATCGCGTTAATACCAAGATAATTCGGCGAAGAGCCATATTGTCCTACCGCATCATTGTGGAAAACCTTTCGCCTAATCGAAGTGTTGCTGATCAGATATGGAAATACGACGATGCTTAGGTGCAGTTGAAGGAGAAGATGATGCGCGGTCTAATGCGAAATGTGTCGAACAAAGGTAGCAAAATTGTCATCGGCGTTTGACAAGGTCCCCAATACACGCGGAAACGTTTGATAAGCCGCCTTCGGTCGCTCTAGAAGTGCCATAGATTGAGTTCTTATGTCTAACTGCACATCTCAACCGGTTCACTCTTCGTCATTCGATTTGCATACAACTGCGCAAAACCTGTATGCTCACATAACCATTGTAGCGGGCCACTTCCACTACATGGGCTGTCAAAGGTTCGCACATGAGACAGTGGGCTCTTTTCTGCAACTACTTGTCTTGCTGGTGATCACGTGGATTATATCCAACGAGGTCCTCCGATGCAGTGAGGTCGGCACAGGCGGATTAAAATCGACGTACAAATATTGCAGTGATCGAGATAGACGTTGAGTGCGTGACCCTGCGTTTTGGTACTCGGTATAGAAGCTCAGCGAGACTGCACGAAGTTACACGTCGTCCATCGTACCTAGGTACTTCGCATACGTCTAGGGCTGCTCCGGTAGAGTACCTAGGTAGCTAGAAGCCTGGTCTTGACGGGGACATTTATAGTTTACTTTAGAGAATTGGACATCAGAGTTATGGGAAAGACTTGATAAATGGCTGCGCTGTCGTGGTGTCGTACCCTGATGGAAGGCTTCGGAGGAGGCGGAACGAGATGGCAAGTGGGCCCTCGGCCCAAAGCGGAGGTCACTAAGCCAAGTAGGCATTAGTCATAATGACGTAACGCGAAAACCAGGTCGCGACGGGATCGCATCCCAACCTCGAAACCCCCTTTGCGTACGACGCATTCGCCGCAGCGTCCAATGACCATCGCCTCCATGCCGTAAGGCTCGAAAACTCCTCACGCCGTTCCTGATGGCACAGGCGTACTCCCTGCGGAGCTCCAGCATCCAGACCCCTCAGACGGACCCTAGGAGCGAACGTCGCGCGACCGATCCACCAACCTACCACGACCGAGGGCCAGCTAAGGTGGACCAGAACACCAGAAATAACGATCCACTTTCCGACATAATCCCGCTGTGGTACTTCTGCGTGTATGCGTCAGCGAACAACTGAACACAGCCCACATCTGACGACGCGCGCAAGATGTGAAGTCTACCTCTGGTTGCCTGAAGACCTGCCCAGGGACCTGCGTCGCTTCGAATCTTCTGCAATCCCGAGATAACCGGTATTCAAACATGCCACTCAGCACTAGGAGTACAGGAGAAGGGCTCCGATCACCATAGCGAAGTCTCCACCAATCTCTGCACGGCGGAATTTCGCCGACACTGGAGCTTTCGGATGTTATCATGTCAAAGTGACGAAAGGCCTCCACACTGCGCCGTGCTTTCCCAGATAGACAGCGTGTACTCGACTTGCAAATGATTTGTTTGGCCGGTTCCAGATGGAGACAACATCCGTCAGCCTTGACAGCTCCCGCTATGCAGTGGGCACTATGCAAGTGCCCAGCCTGGTTTACAGATATCGTCAGCTTTAAACTGGATCGCATCGAAAACTATCATGTTGACATGCCTGCCTTCCATACTGCTCGCCAATCCAACCTTTCGTCTCTAGTGTAGACCATACGGGCTGGCTACGAGCATGGTACGCGGCTTTCACGTGATATCCCAGGCTGGTCTGGCTGCCGACGTACCCCATGAATTCCAGGTCTGCAGATGTCTGGGGTAAGAAGCACCACATCGCTTATTTGCTCATCTTGCATATCAAACGACCGTAGCGGAACACTCGGCAACGGTTTGTTACTATGTTGGGAAACTCTGCTCTTTGTTGTTCACCGCCAAGGCTTATGCCAATAGTCTTGATTCTCTAGACGACGCCGACCTTACCGTCGGAACGCACTCCGCAACGCATCAAGCTCCGTCTTACTTTCGAAGAGCTCATTGTCTGCCATTTCAAGACCGGGAGGCTCACGCATAGCGATGCAGTTCATCTTGCTGACTTCCAATTTGCAGCGACATTTGTGACCAGTTTCAACGAGCAAAACCAACGATGCCTCTCGATGATATCCTTCTCGAGGTCCAGTTGTGAACATCGCATGGGGAAGAGCAACGTGTTCCTGTCGATCTTACCCCACAAAATCGGGTCTGGCGTGCGTCGAGAACCACAGTTCCCAGAACGTCTTTTGACTTCTGGCCAATGATCGCGGTTGGTGTTACTTGAAAGCGCGACATTTTTGAACGTTAACGCGGGCCACACGGCTACTACCAGGCAGCCGAAAGCCTCAAGCATTACAGGCTTGGATAGCAGTCTCCACAAATGCTTGTACAGGCATTCGTCTACTGATATCATCGTTCTCGAGATGACGATGAGAACCAGACGCGAGCCCTGCTAGAATCCCAACAACGTAAGCCGATGCCGCAACACTGGAAGTCGCTAGGAGTCTTTAGCAGTACCGGCTGTCATAGTCCCTGAGCCACAGGCCAGTATAAGAGGCACCCATTTCGAACGTGTTGGAGGGCATTCACGAATTCCACCTCATCCCACAGTCGCTCAGTTTTCCAATATGAGATACGCTTTCGCTCCCATCGCGTTCGGCCTCGGAGCCAACGCCCTTGTCGTTCGTCAGGCTACACAGTGCTTCAAGCTTGAGGCGTCGGGCGGCGCATCAGGTGTACTTGGCCAACTCGACGACGGCCAGAACCGTGTCGGTAACGGTGGTCTGCCTACCGGCTGCTACTGCCTGGACGGCAACGGTGGCTTCACTGATTCCAACGGACGTGGTTGCATCCTGACTCCTCCCACCACCCAGTTCCAGTGCGATGTTGGTGCCACTCCCACCAACGGCTTTGCGGTCGGTCCCAACGGTGGCGTTACATACAACGGCTCCGGCAAGTTCTACGCTTGCCCCGTCAATGACAACGGCGAGTACAACGTCTACACAACACCTGCCCCTGGACAAGAGAAGTGCGTCGAGATCTCTCTTGGCTCTGCTGGTTCTTGCGGAGCTGGCGCTACACAACCCGCTGGCTCTCAGCCTGCTGGCACACCTCCCGTAGCTACCGCGACTGGACCTGCCGGCACACCCCCTGTCGCTACCGCCACTGTACCTGCTGGTACACCTCCTGCTGGCACATACCCTGCTGGAACACCCCCCGCCGGCACACCTCCCGTCGCTACTGCTACTGTACCTGCTGGCACACCTCCTGCTGGTACACCACCCGCCGGTACACCTCCTGCTGGAAAGCCTTCTGGTATGCCTGGGAAGCCTTCTGATATGCCTGGAAAGCCTTCTGGTATGCCTGGAAAGCCCTCTGGTATGCCCGGAATGCCTTCTGGCATGCCCGAGTACCCCGGCCAACCTGGAAAGCCTCAGCAATCAGGCAAGCCGGGCTACCCCGCCATGTCCGAAGGCATGAAGCCCTCCCAACCCGCACCTGGTGTCCCTCAAGAGTCTGAGTGCGTTCCAAGCGTCGTCACCGTCACTGTAACTGCGCCTGCTGCTCCTCCCGCTGGAACCAACCCCGCCCCCTCTGAGACCAAGCCAGCCCCTCCCGCTGAGACGCACCCCGCTCCTCCTGCCGAGACTCATCCCGCTCCTCCCGCTGAGACTTATCCCGCTGCTTCCGCGACCATGCCCGCTCCTCCAGCAGGAAGCAAGCCCGCTGAAACACCAGAGAACCCCGACGACGACGTTAACAACGGCGGTGAGGGCTCATGCCCCCAGGACCTCAACGGTAACTACGAGTACCCCCACCTCATCGTACCTGTCGACTCCGAGCAGCCCGACAAGGCCTACGACACCTCCTACAACGGCATGGTCGATAGCCACACTTGCACCATCTTCAACTTCGACATCCCTGCCTCCATGGCTGGCAAGAAGTGCTCTGCCATGTTCATGCTTCCCAAGAAGGAGGATCTCGAGACCTCCGACTACACCATGTCTGGTCACGGAGAGTGCACCGTCAGCAAGCTCAAGGGCCCTGCCGATGCGATGACTACCTACAAGAACATGCCCGCCAAGGAGAAGGACGTCGCTCACATGGAGATGACTCCCGGCAACACCTACCCCGTCGAGACTGGTGACTGCGAGGCTGGCAAGACCGTTACCTACATGATCTGCGGTAGCGGTGACTTCTCCATGGATTACTTCCAGGACTACAACCCAAGCCCCCTTGGCATGTACGTCCGCGAGTGCTAGATTGTTAGCATTGGTGGCTGAGACCTTGTTTTGATAATGAATCATCATCAAGTGAGTCTAAAAGGTGTGTCGGATGTGAACACCGCCTACTTCTTCTTCATCGTCGCTGAGACGAGCCCTTCCTTTGTAATAACAACATGATACGATACGACGACATGGCACTCCTTATGAATAGTTTGTAGACTAGATTCGATTCAATGTACATTTTACTCCTAGACGTTGATCCTGCGGATGATGCTTCTTGTGGATGTTTGACTAGACACCATTTCTTTCGCCTCTCAACTGCTAGTAGCTCATCGATTTCGTGTAGGTGCGAAATCGAAATCACCGCAGCGAGTTGAAAGAACTAGGAGACGCCGTGAAGATTGCTTCAATCATTGCCAAGACGCTAACGGCAAAGCAATCAGCGTCCCGCCCAGCACCCGCGTCGCGTTCACTACGAAATGTTACGCGTCCGACTGCACCCCATCTCAACTCAACCGACGTGAGCGACTACGTGACTACTGCGTTCGCGAGATTTCCGACACGTTGTCCTTCGAAGAGCGGTCTGCTCGACTTCGACTGTCATGCAAGCCACACGCGTCGCACAGCACCAACATTTTCGTGCCTTTCCGCGCTCCATCCGCAAAATACGCCTTTAGCTAGATCCCGGGATATCTGGATGACGGTATGCAGTCAGGTAATAGACTATATCGTTGCAGCTGTCGTAACCCACTTCACGTGAAGTGCGCATCTATCAGAAAGGCAGGCCAACTGGATTCTCGACGTTTGTATGCCAGAGGGCCTTCAATCTGCGCGATCGTCCCCACCCCCGTAGCCACGCTCGCGACATCAGTTTCGACATCTCGCCTGTGTTGGAATTCCTGCATCGTGCGTGCAGCATCTACATCCAACTCAGCCTCAGGGTACAGCCGCTCACACTCGCGCTAGAAGACGCAACGAATCTTCTGTACAGTGTCTGCAGATGGCGAGCTGCAGTCCGAAATGACACAAGATTCCCACAGTACTCTATGCGCAATATACACAGCATTAGCTTGACCACCCCGTCCAATCTGCAGGGCGCTTTTCGGGATTGCAATATCACGAGCCGGATTGCGGGGTCGATGTTTCAACGAAGCTGGGGTAGAAGCCGGGTAAACAGCTCAGATATATTGACTACCCGCAGCACCCCCGGTAGACTCTACCTTGGCTAATTTACTGTTAACAGGACTACATACCAATCTAGGGGCAAACGACCGTTCCTTACATTCGCTAAAGAATGCGCACGGTACGCCATCGATGAAGCACTACAGCAATGCCGCCGTGGCGCTTTGTATGCGAGATGTCAGTGCTTTTACACCAAGGACTTGGACCGTCTTGAGTGCTGTTAGAATGTACAACGGGCCGACGGTACCGTTGACCAAGTCTAAAGACAGTCACGCGAACGTAAGGGCAAGCCTGTACCAAGCCTGCTGAAAGAGAAGCAAATGATTGGATGGGTCTTTTACGCGGCGCTCATTCTCATGGCATTCTATAAAAGCCCCAGGGAGTACACCGTACGATTCATCACCACCTCGAGTCAATCTCAAGCCTCTCGTTTCATCATGGTGCAACTCACACAGTTCGTTTTGGCAACTGCCGCCCTCGCTGGGGCAGCGTCCGCAGCTCCTAAGCCACCCCCAGGCCCCAACGTCAACCCTTGGACTGGCAAAGACCGCTATGTTGTTCAGAGCTACGGCAAGAAGCTCGACCAGACTATTGCAGCCTTCACGGCCCAGAATGACACTCTCAATGCGGCACGCACTCGCACAGTCGCCCAGAAGATCTCGACTTTCACTTGGGTCACCACACGTGATGGTCTCAGCCTCATTCCTCAAGCCATCAAGGAGGCTCGTCAGCAAAAGAAGGGCCCAAAGAAGATGATCGTCGGACTAGTTCTGTACAATCTTCCCGACCGTGATTGCTCTGCCGGCGAGTCTGCCGGTGAGCTCAGCTCCGCCAACAACGGTCTCCAGATATACAAGAAGGAATTTGTCGACAAGTACGCCAAGCTTGTTTCTGAGGCTAGGGATCTCGACTTCGCCATCGTTCTCGAGCCCGACAGTCTGGGCAACGCCGTCACTAACCAGGGCGTTCCTTTCTGCGCAAACGCCACTCCAATCTACGAGGAGGGTATTGCGTACGCGATCTCCAAGTTGCAGTTCCCCAACGTACATCTGTACATTGACGCTGCGCACGGCGGCTGGCTCGGTTGGGCGGATAATTTGAAGCCAACTGCTGAGGTCTTCGGCAGGGTTCTTGCAATGGCGAAGAAGCTCAACCCCATGGCTAAGATCCGGGGTTTCTCCACCAACGTATCTAACTACAACTCCTTCCAAGCCAAGGTCCGCGAGAACTACACCGAGTACTCACCATCTTGGGACGAGAGCCACTACGCCACATCGCTCGCTCCCTACCTCGAGGCTGAGGGTCTGCCATCCCACTTCATCATTGACCAGGGTCGCGTCGCTCTTCCCGGTGCTCGTGAGGAGTGGGGTGAGTGGTGCAACGTTGAACCTGCCGGATTCGGTCCTCTGCCTGGCTCGAAGCAGAACAACACCAACGTCGACTCTCTTGTCTGGATCAAGCCTGGTGGCGAGAGTGACGGAAAGTGCGGTCTTACTGGCGCACCGGCTGCTGGTGCTTGGTTTGACGAGTACGTGCAGATGCTGGTCAAGAACGCTGACCCGCCTCTGGCGCCAACCTACATGAAGAAGCCTCATGGTCCCAAGGCCTAAATTGGGTGGAGCTGACCGAGTGTAAAGTACGCGGTTTCTGTTTAATGTACATATTGGATCGAATATTCAAAAACGTTATAAGACAAATTTCTTCTAAAATCCTCGCTGATCTTACTGATGAATCAAGTCTTACTTTCAAAATATAGTGACTAACAACCTACCCACTTACCTGTGAAGGCCATGGTAGAGCCTCAAGCGTAGGACTAATAGCCAGGTGAGAGACACAGGTGAGAGACGAGGATGCTCTGAACCAACACGTGACTCCATACTCGATTGTTGACCGTGGCATACTTAACAGAACGCGATCACCTTTAAACTTCACCTCACCACAGCGATCTTTATACTACAGTCTTGCAAGAAGTCCCTCCATTCCACTGTATACACTCCATTCATTATCAAAGTCCGCAAGATGACTACCGCCGCCTGGGACCGCGAAAAGGCTCTTGCAGAGCATGACGAACTGCTCAAGCGCGCGGCTACCACCGAAGAAGGTGACATGATGTAAGTTCCCTTGTGTGGCACTACATTGGCCGCCTACGAGCTTCACACATCACTGACTAAGTCGCATAGCGCCACTAAGAACCACCTCAACTCGCCCATTCTTCGTCTACCTGGCGAGATCCGCAACCAAATCTACAGATACGTCTGCGAAACAACCACAATCAGATACGGCGAGAATTACGAGAAGCGTCCCGAAGGTACTGGAACTGCCTGTCGCTTCACCCAAACATTCCTTCTCACCTGCAAACAATGGCACTCCGAGGCGATTACACTCATGTATGGTCTCGCAACGTTCGAGGTGTCCAGTACCGAGGCATGGCTTTCCCGTCAAAGCTTCAACCCCAAGTATTGCAGCCTCATTACGTCGCTCTCCGTTGACTCTGTAGTCATATCAACAGCGTTGAGGACGACCCAGGGATACACCTATGAAGAGGACGAAGAGTATGAAGACTTGTTTCCAAAGTATATGCCTGGGAGATATTTTGCTGCCGTGGAAAGGGTACATATACACAGTCCTGGTTGGAAGGAAGACTATATATTTGATGTGCTGAGAAAGTGGTTCGAAAAGGAGGACCTACAGGTCACTGGCAATGGTGCTTGCGCTATATACCTCCGAGGATGTCGTTGAAAGGTTCTGCGGACTATCACTGCGGATAATATGGAGTTCTTGGATTGGGCCGCTGCTATTTCATCCTTTCTTGATCTATTTCATTTCACTCATGTACCCGAAAAAGCCGTTTTGATCGAGTCGAGGGCTCATGTTTGGGCATCTCTGAGGATGGACCAAAAGTGCTAGTGGATACACAAAATTTCATTTATAGCAATGCATGAGGAATGCGTCAAGGAACATCTTCGCTCGTATGCACGTGATCCGGCGCGTGATCTCGAGGGTCTAATCCCGGTCTTGCACTCACTCCCGCACGCACCCTCTGTATATAAAACGCCTTGATCGCCGAAACCAGTCCTCTTCTCTTGTCTTCCCACAGATTGTTCTCATCAAGCCATTAGCTCATACAGTCTCGTGAGCAACTACGCTGCCTGGTTGGTGTAGCCCATAAATCCTCAAACACACGTACTTGGGTAAGCGTTCTGTGACATTGAACAACGTTCTGGACTTCGATCCTGACCCCGCGTAGCAATATGTCACGACAGACAGTCACCTCACGTCAGCGTCGCGTGCTCACTTCCAAAGAAGCTCGCGAGGTGTAAGTACCTGGACTATTCAACCCTATCGAGACGACGGGCATCTGCTAACATGTATCCAGCACCCTTCAGAACCAGGTCGAATCACCTCTATTACGGCTGCCAGGAGAGATACGCAACGAGATCTACGCGTACGCGTGTTCCCGCACTCAGGCCGTCTTCAACAACAGTCCTCGAGCCCGCAAGTCCACAGCCATCATATCCACCTGTTCTCAGATGCGCCATGAAGCCCACGCCATCTTCTTCGCGCATGCGACATTAGATCTGAGGGCGCTCCTGTTCTCGGAGTTCCCACAGACGCTTCCACATGCGGACTTCCGGCTCGTCACTTCCATCCATCTACGATCGCAGCGGATTACAAGGCTTCTACGGGAGGATGAGCAATTGGTAGCGGAACGACAGGGAGCTAAACTCTTCCCGGAACTGGAGCGAGTGTATGTCGCTGGTTGGAGTAAATCGCGCTGTCCAAAGGATAGTTTGGGGGTTGACGCGCTACGAACTTGGGCGGGAAATGCGGATTTGCAAGTGGCGCACAGCTCAGCCTTCTAGGGACTTTCACGCGTGGAAGTGTCAAGGAAGGGAACAGAGAGGGTATTGATACGTCATAGACAGCCCCGCTATGAAGAAATGTAGTAGTCGCGTACTGCACGCTAGATAATGAATACTCGCTTCCCAAGCCTTCCACCTACTTCTGTGTTCCTCTCACTTCCATAATCAAAACACACCAATTCTCCTGAACACGACGTGGTTACCACTTCCTCATCAACGGCGATGGAAAGCAATAAAGCAATGTCTGACATGTCAGTCAGCCATATTCTATACACGTAATCTCCCCACTATCGCTGACACGCTATCTAGAGCAATCAAGAACCAACTCACATCCCCGTTTCTCAAACTCCCCGGAGAGATACGCAACAAGATCTACGAGTACACATTCATCAACATCCAGATCCATATACACTCTTTAAGTTCCTACTCCTACAAGAGATCTACGGCTCTCATATCAGCCTGTTCTCAACTCCGTTTCGAAGCCCGTACAATGTTCTTCGCTAGAGCGATCTACCATATCTTCGAAAGGGCCTGGGATGATATGCGGCTCTTCCGGGATATCGCTAAACTGGCGGTCTGTCAACTCATTACATCCATTCGCATACCCCGTTGGGGTGCGAATGATTTGGAAGGCACGACGATTTTGAGTTTTCCGGCTTTAGTGCGAGTCTATGTTTCCGGTATCTGGCCACTAGATGATGTCGATGGTATACGGGAAAAGCTGCGGGTCTGGACAGAGAATGCAAACTTGGAGGTCGTCTTTGAAGCCCATCCTGAATCCGTGCGAAGAGCTTTGGAAGGTGAGAGCGCGGCTTGTACGTCATAGCGTTTGCTGCTACCCAAAAGGGTAATGGCCACTAGATAGTCGCCTCCTCTATTCGAATGCAACAGTTACCCGGGGTTACACTCACATCGCTTCTCAACACACTCCAGTCCTTGTCTTTTAACTACAATCACTTCTTGCTTTCGTTACACAACATCACCTCCTTCCTGCGCGATACTCGCGATGCAGAGCGATCTCGCATGCGCAGCCTTGCCCTGCGACAACGCAATTTCAGAAATGTAAGCACAGCGCACTCAAATGCACGTGCACAAAAGCTGAAACTCCGGCTAGTACGCTCAGAAACCAGCTCAACTCACCTCTTCTCCGCCTGCCCGCCGAGATCCGCAACAAGATCTACACCTTCGTCTCGCTCTCTACGACCATCAAAGTGACAGAAGCCTCCGAGAGCAGCCTTTTGAAACGGATCCTCTGCTTGAGAGCCCCAGGTCTTGTTAGAAGTTGCCAGCAGATACAGCACGAAGCCACAACCTTGCTCTATAGCCTAGCTACTTTCGACATCACCAACCACAGCGTCGCCTTCCTGCTAGGTAGAGTATCCAATCGCAACATCTGTAGTCTCATTACCTCAATCAAGATGTCCGGTTACTTGGCTTTTACCGTAATGTCCAAGTCCGATTCCGTACCACGTTCTTGGAGAGATAACAGGACACCAGCAGGATGCCTGCCAAGTCTCAAGAGCGTGTATGTACAGAAGATATACTGTGAATGGAAGAACATGAAGGATCCAGCAGCTCTGAGGAAGTGGTTTGGAGATGAATCACTCGAGATCATCTTTGAGGAGTATGCTGGCTGAGAAAGTGGCCGTACACGGTCTACGAAAAGACTGTGTTGATTAAGACGTCGATAGTAACAAAAAATGCATCTTGCACAATGAGACTTTGTTTCAATTCCATGCACCGTTGATAGACCGTGTACCCATTCGCTGCGAAATCGTAGGCCACGAGAATGAAGCACCCAGCAGCCCTTCTCGAGCAACTCAAGGACCTCAAGGCCTAGTGAGTGACCTTAGAGGCCAATGGGCCTGATTGGATACGATATCCAGGTAGATAGTCTATTCCCGCACTAGCGCCTTCCGAGATAGCGCAGTAAACACGGCCTTCACTTCTCAACCTTTCTACCTCCCTTCGCCCACCACCCACCACCAGAGTCAAGCGCCGCCAATCTCCGCGCCCCTGCGATATGGAGGCCAGCGCTTCCTCCACGGCCTTCCTGGGCGAAGAGACTGAAGCAAACATGTAAGCTCGCTGTCTCTCACCCAGTCGCACGTACTAACTTCTGAATCAAGCACTCTCAGGAACCAGCTCGAGTCGCCGCTTCTCCGCCTGCCCGCTGAGCTACGAAACAAGATCTACACCTACGTAGGCGCTGCCACAGTCATCCAAGTCGTCACACGCTCCCTGACACCAACCAACGCGGAGGAATATACCAAACTACTCAAGTACCCGCAACCCGACCTCCTCAACACCTGCAAGCAAGTCCGCCAAGAAGGCTCTTCCCTCCTCTACAAACATGCTCTTTTCGACTTGTCCAAATGTAGCTACCTAGCGGTTCTGTTCCACCGTTGCGACGACAATTGCTGCGAGCGTATGACCTTTGTCAAAGTTGATCGGAGACTTGTAGAATATGCGGCTCGAAACCTTCTTGACAAAGACGGCGGTTGGTCTAATGAGCACGAGGGTACCATCAGCGTACTGCCGAATGTGGAGACAATTCGTATCGAAGCGGATCCTATCAGGTTAAGGTTCAAGGATAGTTGTATCAGAACGGTACTGAGAGGCTGGTGTAAGAACCATACAGCTGAGATTGTCTTCGAAGACATCCATAAAAGTGTTCGTTGGGACGGCTATTGGGACCACCATCAGAACCTAATTGCCAAACATGGAGTTAATAGGACGGGATAATGTCTGGCTTAGGCCGTCCTCGTGTCCTCTTCTCGGCCGGCTATGAGCAGAATTTTTCTTGCGTATCACGGTTGGGGTGGTACCAGGCTTCCAAACGCTGGGGCGACTTCTCAGTAGCAGCATAGCTATAGAAACAGTGATAAATAGAGACTACTCTAGATTAACTAGATCAAGGTATCTTGGATAACCAATCAACCTACAACACCATGCTTCTTCGACTTCTTCCAGCCGGCAAAGGCTTAATAAGTATCCTTGCATTTCCCCTCTTCCTCTTTCTCTCCCAATATCCCAATACCAGTCATGTTCCTAAATCATTGCCGCAGCTAGAAGACCTAATGATTCTCTTTGAACGCCCAGTAGGGCACGCCGAGACTCTTTATTACACAAGAAGAAGTATATGGATCTACTAGTACCGTGAATACTGACTCTCTGGCCCCCCACATAAGTCTGCCCACTGTCACGTGATTCCTCGATGAGTACTTAGTCTTTTCTTCCGTACTAGTTAGTCGATAGTCATTACAATCCAATCCAATATTCCTCGACATCTCGCACCCACCACCCACCTCAACATACACAATATCCTCTACTTACTCAACATGGAGACCGCAAACTCACCGGCCCCTCAACCAGACAGCGTCATGTCCAAAGTGTATGTCCACCGCCATTCCCCGCGCTTCTCACTAACAATATCCCAAGCACATCTGCGAATCAATTCACCTCTCCACTTCTTCGCCTGCCCGCTGAGCTGCGAAACCAGATCTACACCTACGTCGGCCTCTCCACTATCATTAAAGCCATTCAACCTGAAGGATCTCTCAAGTGCAGCTTCCAGCTCCCAGCTGAACTCGAGGCGTGCAAACAGATCCGACACGAAGCTACCTCGATAGTATGCAGATCAGCTCTCTTCGATTTTACTCAGTGTCACACGGGTGCTTGGTTGGAAGGCAGCTGCAACCACGAAATCGGCGAGTTCGTTACCTCGATCAAGATTGGGGGTCGTATTGCATGCCTCGTCTCACACCATGTTCGAAAAGGTAGAGACTATGCAGGACTGCAATTCCCGATTAAATGGCTGCCGAACGTGGAGAGGATTTACATAGAGTCTGACCCATGTATGCAACTGTGGGGTGTTACTACAATGATAGCACTGAAGATGTTGTGCAAGAAGGATACGCTGCAAGTCATCTTTGTGTGACTGAGAGAATGGGCGGTGGGCAGGGAGAGGGTACTTTAGGGGCCACGAGAACTGGCTAGTCAAAAGAGAAGCGGATTACAGTGTCAGTCCCTGGCTAGGCAGCTAGCGCATTGCAGATAAATCGACCTTGGAAGCGCTCACTTCAAATTACCTACTAAACTCCGTCGACTACGCACTAGCCAAAATCATTACACTCTACTTCTTCTTCCGTCCAAAGAATGGAAACTTATTCTAGAGCCGTTGTATCCCCCACCACCATGTCCCAAATGTAAGCCTCTCGCCATCTACTCGACACCACCCGCTGACGCACACGTCCAGCACTCTCACCAACGCCCTCACATCCCCCCTCCTCCGCCTCCCCGCCGAGCTCCGCAACAGGATATATACTTATCTAGCCCTCTCTACAACCGTTCGAGCAAGAGAGATCGAAAAGATAGAAGGTAGCACCCGCACCTTTTTCAAGTACAGCTTCCCCCTTCCAGGACTACTCCAAGCATGCACGCAAACCCGACACGAAGCCACCCCACTGATATGCGCCCACGCAACATTCTATTTCAAGTTCGAAATCTACTCATTACAGTACCCACGTTGTAGTCATGAGCTCTTGGAGCATGTCACCACAATCAAGCTTGGTTCGACTTTTGCCGATTATATCGCATGGTATCCCAGTCGGCGACGGGGTTTCACTAGAGAGTATGTACCTCCTGCTGAATGGCTGCCCAACTTGAAGAAAATCCACGTCTGGTCATGGAATGCGTACAAGCTTTGGCAAGAGGAGAAGATCAGGGCGGCTTTGAGAGCGTGGTGTGAGGACGTTACTGTAGAAGTTGTGTTTGAGTCACTGGTAGGATGAGCGGTGGGCTGGGGGAGGGTACTCCAAGACGTCACGGGAATTGGATAGTTAATGAGAAAGCGAATCAAAATAGCCGTTCTTGGTTAAATCGAACATTACACAATAGATGGATCGCTCTCTTCGAGTCCTCTACTTAATTCCGTCGATCTCAACCTCCCACAGACGTCCAGGTCTCTACCAATTCATCAACATCCCCCGGGAATCCTTGAACTCAACCACCAGATCCTCCTTATTGAACCAGACCCTCAACGCAACTCTGATACTCTCACTTCCCCTCATCCTTGCCCACATGACCTCCACCCTCTTCAGATTCGGCACAACAGGCCTGCCTCTGTTCGCGTTAACGTATCCTGCGACAAGGCTCGAATGCACCCAGCCAATCTGCAGCGTAGTACAACTCTCTATCTCGATGCAACACGTGATGCAGGAGACGTCGCTGACACGGGTAATGTCAAAGGTGGCGTTTGTGTAGATGAGCGCGGTGGCTTCGCTGCGGATTTGTTTGCACGTGAGCAGGAAGGGAGGGATGGTGTGGGAGAATGGGTGCTTGGAGTATCTCGGTAATCTGGAGAACACTACGCTGGTTGAGAGACCGATGAAGGTGTAGATCTTGCTGCGAAGTTCGGCGGGTAAGCGGAGGAAGGGAGATGGGGGCTGAGTACTATGTTGCTAGTTAGTGCAGGCTAATAGATTCCAAGGTTTGTAAGAGCATGCGTACATGGCGGACATCGCGCTGTTGATTTGGGGAGCTGCAGGTGTAGTCGCGGTTGTGGCTGTAGTCTCCGTGGTGGGTAAGTAGTGGATGCTGGGTTTGTCCATTTTGAACAGTGGGTGGTACAACCTTGGAACGGCAATCACGCTAGCAGCACTATTTGTGCTCTAACTGCACTAGTCTGGGTTATGCGAATCACAGTGAACTGTTTATTCCCTCTAAGTCCTTCACCTTGTTCAGTCAACTACCCACTAGCCGAGACCAATACACCCTACATTCTCCAACCCACACATAATGGCATCTCCATCTTATACAGCTGTTGAAGTCGCCACTGCCCTGTCCAAAATGTACGTCTCCACCACCTGCGCCGTCACTAAACACCATCATCCACCTACTAACACATACGCCCAGCACCCTTACCAACACACTCACATCCCCTCTCCTCCGCCTCCCCGCCGAATTGCGTAACAAGATCTACACCTACGTAGGCCACTCAGAACAGATCCACATCGCCGCGACCATTACCAACGCAAGCCCTGGCGATCCAACCCGTGACCCTTCCGGATTCACTATGCAATTCGACTTCCCAGGTCTCCTCTCCACCTGCCAACAAACCCGCTCCGAAGCTACCGCACTCATATACGCTCAATCCACCGTCAACACGCTCTCCGGCGACGCTTGGTACTGGCTATACTCACACTTTGCACACCGACTCTGCGCCCGTGTAACTTCAATACAGATCAGCGAGATCTTCGCCAACCTCATGGAGCGAGAGACTGATCAGCGCATGCTAGACTCGCAGGATGTCAAGGTATGTGCCTTGCACTTGCCATGCCTGGAGCGTGTGCACGTCGTATGTCAGGTGGTAGCCGGCTGGCCAATAGGCAGCGGTTACTTCACGGAGGAAGCGGTGAAGGAATGGTTTGGAAACGAGGGTTTGGAAACGAGGGTTTGGATGTGTTCTTTGAGGGGAGTTGGTCGAAGCAGTACTCGTGTCCTGACTCCCTCATAGAGAGGTATGATATGTTGGTGGATGTAGAGTGAAGCTCAACACACCCTCTTTGGTGGCTGATGAGTAAAAGGATGGTTGGTGGAGATTCTCGAATGCAGGTGGACTGGAATGACGGTACTATTGGGTAGGATCTTGTAGACGAAAACAAGCAATCTCCAAGTTAGTCTCTTTCTTCTGTACTCGGTGCAGAGGAGCCTCTTGAGGACTGGACCAGGATGATCGGAGGATGTCGGAAGAGCGCTGGAAGGTGGCTTGATTGACGGCGATTCGGGACCGCTCGATTGGGTGTGGCGATGCTGGACCAGATCAGCTGAGCTGTGTTATGAACCGGGTGTATGCGCAATCTAGAGAGGATATGAACATCTGTTGAAGATTGGTATATAACGTCGAACGCGCTAGCAACATCACACCCCTCTCCATCCTTCCTACCCCACACCCTCCACACACATATCCACAACCTCATCTACAGCCCAAACTGACTCTCCACCTCCCTCCTCTTCTGCTCCCTCTCCATCTCCTGTCTAATCCGCTCCACCTCCTCCGTCATGCCCTTCTCGCCCTTCTTGCGCTGCCTCTCCTCATACAACGCTCTCCCCTTCATAATCCTCGCCACAATCTCCGCGGCGTTTACGTTTTGGAAGTCGTGGTTAGCGATTTCGCGGTATATGTTGAGGGCCTTGGGGACGGCGTAGGGGTCGAAGGCGAGGGGCATGAAGGTGGTTTTGCCGTGGTAGACGGTGAGGGGTTGGGCGTAGGGGAGCGTGTGCAGGAAGGCTTTGGAGAGGGAGAAGGGGGCGCCGAAGATGGCGGCGTGGACGTACTGGGTTGGTGGGTTAGTGGGTGTATATGGGGAAGGGAGGAGGGAACGTACTTTGCACTGCAGGACGCAGAGGCCGCGCTCGAAGATGTTCATGATGGGGTAGTTGATGCCTTTCCAGTGGTTGATGACTTCGTCGTCGTGGATGCCGGCGATGAGGAAGATGGGGCCGTAGTCCTCGCCGGACTTTTCTATGCGCGCTGCCTTTGCTTCGTCGGTGTACCAGCCGCCCTCCTTGGCGCTTTCCTCTTCGGACTGTGTGACGAGGCGGAGGAACTCGATGTGACCCGAGGAGAATAGATCCCAGCCTCCGTCGACATAGATGACCTTTTGGCCGGGCTTGACACCCTTTCCCTTGACCAACTCGTGGAACTTGCCCTTTTCTTCCTTGACGGGTCCGAGTGCTGAGGCGGTCGAGGCCTGGCGGACGGTGCCGGGACGCGGCGCAGTGGGCGATGTTGGCGAGGTTACAGTATTGCTGGTGGTTGTCCTCCGTAGCTTGACGGGTCGCGAAGCATGCCAGTACCACACGTCGCAGCCGGGCGCGCGACCTGAGGCGTCGGTCGCGTAGTCCTTGATGCGCTGAAGCATCTCCTCTCCCGTCTTTAACCGCTCCTTCTCGTCACCCGGGCCCTCGTCTCCGGACAGCCTCTTCTCCAGCGATGGTATAAAGTGCGACTTGGTGCACAGCAGCATGCGGCCCACGAGGTCGGTCGTCGAGATGCCGGGTGTACGCTTAACCACCTTGAACCTGCCTGCTGCCTTGACGTAGCGGTAGCAGTCCTTTCCGTCGCTGTCGGAGGTGATGTCATCGCCGTGGACGACGTATTGGCAGCCGTAGTGGGTGATCCAGGGCAGCGAGGTTACGTAGGGCGCCCTCGGGACGGCTTTGGTAGCCCATCGGCAGGCTTCGACGGCGGCGACACTGGAATCGTTAGCTTTCAAGGCGGCGCATCCGTCATGGCAGTGCGCACCGTTCGTCGAGGCGCATCACCGTCGGGCCCTTGTTCTCCATGATGGACTCATCCGAGTGCACACCAACGAACAGCTCGTTGCCCAGCTGGCGCGCCTGCAGCATGGCGCCCGCATGGCCTGTCTCTGTAAGCGCTGAATACCTCAACTCCGGCAGCCGGCATACCGTGGTGAGCAAAGTCGAAACAACCATCGACCCATATGCGCTCGTCCGAAACCTCGACGTCTTCCTGAGGATCCACAGGCCACTGTCCCTCTGAGGGAATCCACTCTCCCTGTGTTTCGTCAGTGTTGCGCGGATATGAATGTCGTGGTGGTGCGTACTCGTGCGCTCTGTCTGCGCTGCATCGTGACGTGGGGTAGTTGGCGGGGCTGGCAGCAACACACAACAGTACAGCGGTACTTGGTAGTAATGGTGTGTCTGGGAGAGTCGGACGGTGTCGAGTCTGAACCGCGGGACTGGAAAGCTTGGAAGCTTGGAGCTTGGAAACAGCACCTGCCACTCTGGATTCAGCCTAACGTGCTGATAGCCGCACGTGGGCAAATGGCATAGTCAGTGAAGCTATGGCAAAGTAGGCGACAGGGGCAGAGGCGGTGGGCAGGGATGGGCCTCGGGCGGCTTGTTCCTGCGTCGGGATAGGTTCTCACGGTATCAGCTGTAGCCGCGAGTCGAAACACGTTTTCGTTTTGCGCGCCAGTATCTACCTTATAGCGTGCAGTCCCGTCTGCGTGTCTTTTGCGCGCGCGCTGCTTTCTCCATACTCTCTTACATTATTTACAAGTAGGTATAGCAGTGCGGCAATGTTATCAGGGTCCGTGGTGAAACAGCCCCTGATCGCTCGGTAGCCCCACACCTCTGGGAAAGCACATGGGCTACCAGCATGGCCGACAACTCCAGCCAGGGCCTCTTCTCCCGCCGCCCCTCGTTTTTCGGCGGCAAGACCAAGGGACAAGGACACAAGCAAACAAACTCGACCCTCGCGCCGCCCGCCCTCAACATCACCCCCGCGGCCAACCCCGGGCTAAAGACACCCCCTCTTGAACTCGACCAATACGAGTTTCCCGCCCGCCTCGCAGCGACGCCACCACGACGCAGGCACGCCAGCAGCAGGCACAGCATCGCCTCGTCCGTCACCGATCTCGGGTCCACGCTGCGGAGGTCACGGTCCGCCTCGCTTCGCACCAACGCGTCGGCCTCGTCCTCGCATAAGAGGACCCCCTCGGCCACCCTGGCCCTCACCTACTCCCCCGAGAAGGCCCCCGTGCCCGCCAGTGTGACGAATGCTTCGCGGCCCGCCCTCTCCATATCCACCTTTTCGCGCAGCAAGCAAAAAAGCAGCGAGAACGTCAAGACCGAGGGTGGCAGTGTCCAACAACCCCAGGCCCAGGTCTACGAGAAGAGCCCCCTCAGCGCCGTCGACAAGCCCAAGACTCCCTTCGGCAACATGGCTGTCCCCATCCCGCTGCGCCATCCCCCCTCCCAGAAGGAGATCCTCCAGGCAAACCAGCAGTCCAACCGCACCTTAGCACCTGCCGCGCCCATCCCCGTCCCCAACGGCTCCAACCCCAACCTCGTCTTCCAGCATATCCACGAGCTCGCCTCGAAGCGCATATCCACCCTCGACTACTTGAGGAAGGCGTACGTACAGCCGCTCCCCCACACCTGCTATGACTAACACCCCCCAGCCACGAAGGCCGCATCTACTGGTTCAACACGCTCCTCTTCTCCAAAACAGACCTCACGCGCCTCCCCTCCTTCACAACGCGCAACCAAGCCCGGCGCGCCACCCACTACCTGCTCCTCGGCTTCTCGCTCCCCACCATCCTCGACCTAAACGCCAATTCCCCGTCCGACTACCTCAAAGCCCTCAACGCCCTCTTACTAGAATTCGAACAATACCAGTCCATCCACCCGGCCGACGGCTCCACCCCATCGTCCCTCTCCCGCGCCCGCCTCCCCCAGATGTTCAAGCGCGCAAACATGGGCATGGGAATGGGAATGGGCATGTCAATGGGCAGTAAAGGCCGGCGGTCCAGCAGCGCAAATGGCGATTTCCCGCTCCTCACTCCAAGCAACAGTTTCACCGGGTCGGAAACAAGCGGTGGTATGGGCGGCGGCTTCGACTCCCCGCCTACAACAGACGATTCCTTGCTTCCGAATGAAAGCTACACGCATCTCCAGACCCCGAGTCTGCCTTTCGACCCCGATTTCTTCAGCACGTTTGCTACGCTGTGCGATGTCTTGATTGATTGTTATACGAAGATACTGAGTATGCTCAGTACGCCTGAGAGTGTGGCGAGTGCGGGGGGTGGCGTACCCAGTTTGGTGGGTGATTTGTTTAATAAGGCGGATGCGCGCGTGAGGAAGATTATTCTTGCGGGGGTTGTGCGCGAGTTTGAGGATAGTTGTCGGGCGGGGCTCAAGAGTGAGGTGGGAGGTGTGGGAAAGGTTGTTCTTGGGGGGTTGATGTAGGGGATGCGTTAGTGGGGGATGGGTATTGGAAGGATGATGATTTATGTGGCGGGATTATGATCTGGGCATTTTATGATATCCAACAAGGTACACGGATGGGCGTTTTCCTTTCTTCTTTCTTCTTCTTTTGGTAGTCTACTTACTTCTTGCATGGAGATGGAGTTGGAAATTTAGAATATACGGCAGCATATGGCATGGTATAGCATAGCATGAGAAAGCCAGATCGGGATATACGCTGGATAGCGTATCTCCTCTAGGGCTTCTACAGCACAACGAATGTGCCTCCAACAAACTAATGCCAACACGCACATTCTCTCGACCCTATCTCCAGACGTTCAGCATCCTGCCTTCTCACCTCCACATCCCAAAACGTATCCGCTGATAAATCTCAGCAATGGCAACCCCCGCCTCCTAAGCAGCAGCCGCCTCATTCTTCTCCACAAGATCCACAACACCCTTCCCCCTACCCACCTTGACCTTTGTCTTCTTCGCGGGCTTCTTCTCTTTCTGCCCCTCACTCCCCACGGCATCCCCCTCATCCACGCCCTCACTCCCAAAAATCTCCTCCTCCTCATCCCTCAACTGCTCCTTCAAATCCGCCAGTTCAATCCTCATACTATACGCGTCTTCGCCGTCGGCATAGTATTTCGCTTCGATCTTGTCGACGGTGAAACCGAGGGTTTCGCGGTAGAGGTGCAGGGCTGCGTTGTTGGAGACGCGGACGTGCAGGGAGACGTAGTGCGCGTTGAAGGTCTCGGCCATGGCGCGTTGGGATTGGCGCATCAGTTTTTCGGCGAGACCGAGGCGGCGATGGGTCCGCATTACGGAGAGAGAGGTTATGTGGCCGTGTTGGACACCGTCGGTGGGCTCTTCCTCCATCTTGGCGAGGACGTAGCCTACGATCTTCGGGGGGTCGTACGGTGTCTTGGGAGGCCGGGATACCTGAGAGGTGTTAGTAACGTGCAAAACGTATCAAAGTGTGATCCAATATCGAAAGGACAAGAAACAGCGGATTGTCACGTGTTCCACGTAAACGACTCCCCGTTGCTCAACCATTATTTCATAAACATGCCAAGCGTAGCACTCGTGAACAACTGCAACTCTCATCCTCTAATCCCTCCTCTTCACACTAGTTCCCAGCGAAGCCCCAAACATAAACACAAACACAGACACAAGAAACTTACATCAACAGCCACATAGCTCAACTGCGGCCAACTCATCGCATGATACAAGTAATACTTGCAAAAGTAGTTCTCGGGCAAATTCGTAATATTCGCAAGCTGGACATGCGGAATGTCCGATGGGCGTAGGACGCGGATATCCATTTTCGTGAGGATGTGTGTGGTGTACGTATCTGTTTTCTCTAGCTCTTTCTCTGCAATACCGACTTTGCGTTTCCTTACGTCTTTGATTGACGAGGGAGTATCGGGATTGGATTGGGATTGAAATGGTACGGGTGTACTTGGAAGTTGCAGCGCTAATGCGAATGCGGATGGGGGGATGAGCGATGGGGCTGGAAATCTGGACTTCTGGAAGGCGGTTTGGTGAGGAAGAGGGCGAGTGCGTTATGTAAGCAGGACTTGTGGAGTCCCGAGGTCGGGGATTAGATGTTAGCGCGGGGCTAAACGCCGACGCGACTTTCCTCATTCCCCAGGAAGGCCATGAACTCATATCGCAACGTGACATTAACCTATCGAATCTCCAGCCATATACCCACCATCCCTCCATTCCCACTCGCAGGATCTTGTACCCATCACCAACCCAGCCACTCACCCCCTCTCCCGCCCCCAAACCACCAACCCCGGAAGCCCAAACGCATCCCTCAACCTCTCTCTAACCTCATAATCCGTCAAATCAACCTTCAACCTCAACGGTTCTACATCCAACCTCTTCAACGACCCAAATTACTCCTTCAACCCCGCACCCTTGAACTCCTCTTTCCCCTCAACAACAGCCAGCCCATTCCCCCGCGTCAGCCACAGACGCTCAACCCTCCCAAATCCTGCCGCAGGCAGATTAGACAACGCAAAGAATCTTAGCGCAAAGTAGCTAGGTACAAATGTGCAGAGCGTGAAGGATAAGGCGCTGGCTTCGATGTAGACCTGGCGGCAGGTGTAGAGGATGGCGCGGACGCTGGGGTAGCGGCCGAGCACGTCTTTTTTGATGAGGAGCTTGTTGACATTGATGGTGGTGTTTAAGAAGACGAATTTGTAGATCTTGTTGCGGAGTTCGGCGGGGAGGAGGAGGAGAGGGGAGGGGGGTTGGTTGGTGTGGGTGCTGGGGGTGTTAGGACGTAAGACAGTGGTGGTGAGGGGTGAGTGTACGTTTTGTCTCTGTTTTGCTTGTCTGGGAAGATGAGGTTGGTGTTGCTTTGTAAGTCGTAGTCGTTGTTGAAGACGTCGTCGACGTCGCGGAGGTCCTCGTCGCGGTCGTCGTTTTGGTCCTGGGGTAAGATGCCAGGCTTCATGGAACCTAAGTCGGAGAGGCGAAGCATCGTCAAGGTGTAGGCAACGCAACGTCGGTTTTTTGTTTCAAGGTTGGTGATTGGAGAGACGATCAGTAGTCGGTAGGCAAGCTGTCAGTCAATGCCGGCCGCAACGCTAGTACAGGGTCTGCATGAGGACAAACGGTGATGGTGACTGCGACTTAGCGCTAACTACATGAGGCTGCAGCGAGAGGACGAGGTGACGTCCGAGCGATCCGAGACTGCCTGAAGACACGAGTGATCTTCTTGTCTCATACCGAATCTACCACCACTACTAGCTACTTGACATCGATCACACGGACAAACATATACTTTCGGAACGAACGTAGCCTTCTCACATCCCCATTTCTTCCCCATTATCCCAGCAAGCCTCTGTAGTGCTTGCGTGTTTCCCTTGTGATAGTATTCATGATATTCAGCAGACACCCTCACGTAAACGTACTCCACTCGTGGAAGCTTATACCGCCCCTCGTGTTGCTCAAGCGCTTCAAGCGTAGAGAACAACATGGCAATCGACGTGATGAGCTCCCTCTTTTCACGCCCAATGTGTCCCAGGAAACGATGAAAGTCATATCACGCATAATTGAAGCCGAACGTTGTGTAGGAGAAGAAGAGAGACTCGGCTTCAGACCGGGTCTGACGACATGTTCGGATGAGTGCGACGGTGTGGGACATGGGTCGGCCCGAGCTTAATCGAGCGTGTATTGAGGCAGTCCGCCGGTCCAGCAGTGGTTCAATGGAGGATTCGGCGAGAGCGTAGCCGTAAATTTTGTTGCGCAGCTCGCCTGGGAGGCGCAGCAATGGTGAGTTCTTGGCATTGGCTTCTGTGCTGTGCATGTCAGCGGGTCGAGCGAACATTTGTAGCGACAGTTCCAGAGAATGTACTTACATAAGGTCGTGCTTGTCGACGGCCTCCTCGGGGATGGAAGGCAGAGTTGCGACGTAATTCATCCTGTGTCCGCCCATTTGAGTTTGGGGATTTCTCTGGTGGAAATAGGTTGATGGCTGGTTGGTCGCACTGAATCGCAATGGCAGCTGGAACTAATGGGCGATGGGTATATGGGTCGAGCTATGAGTGTCAGGACTCCAGCGAGCTACTTCTTACCCACTCACAACCAAGGCTGCAGTCGTGAATGCTTATTCTAACCGAGTCAGCTCACAATTCACCCCCTTTCACTAAACAGCACCCTCATGATCCAGAGTACACGCCATAACCTTCGTATATATCCAAAGGGCTTCGAACCGAAATATATGTACGTGAACAAATATGTTACCAAATCGTGCATCCAGCCCCATATTTCCCTTCGTAAATGCAAAACACATAACCTCAAAAAGCCAACGAGATGCCCTTGTTGCTTATACTCCGTTGCCAAATGCGTAGTTCGAATTTTTAGACCCCTCTTTCTTGGCTGAGAATCTCGTCAACCATGGGTTTCACGGTAGGCATGTAGCCTTGCATAACTGGGCACCAGAGGGCCTTCTTAAGTCCCAGTTCTGTGGCCATGTAGTACATCAGCCGGTTTATCCATTCCCGTCGGGCTGCAATGTCTATTCTCCTAGGCTCAACTCCATGGTCCAGATGAGGCAAATCTAGCGGGTGATCGTACGGATGTGCAGGGTTGGGGTCGAAGATGTGATTCTTCTTTGCGTTTTGGTCCAAGACCGGCGTGTTCGATGGCGGACTCGCGCCAGGAGATTGGTCGCTTTCCGACTTGGAGCGAATGCTTCGGAGCTCGGAGAATGGCGGTGCTGCTTCGTAGGATTCCAGGGCCGTCGCCGGCTCACTTGAGGAAGACGCGTTGGAAGTGGATGTGGCCAGATGTGGTTGCGAATGGACTGGTGGTGGTGTTGGTAGATGAGTAGCGCTGTGCGGATGCTTGCCTGCATTGCTGTCCGGCACAAGACCTGAGCTGAGTACTGAATCCATCGTACCCAGGGGCCATATGCAGATATAGCCCCGCATACCACATATGTCGGTGGCAGATTTGGTATCTATCGGTACAGTAAAGCTGCCAAGTATGGAAGAACAGTTCTTCTCGATGACCTCGACTAGGCGGGCGGTAGCGACCGAGTGATGCATGCGGAGATTTGCATTACTCAGAGCAGTAGGCATAGACTGACCCGGGGCTTCTTGAGGACGGAAAGATAGGCAAGGGTCCCGGAACCTCAACATCCAATTCAACATCTCGAGCAGATCACGTAGAACAAGTATGCGGCTCGTACGGTAGAAGCCCCAGATCCAGACGCGCTTCAAGCTCGGGTAAATGTGAATCTCTTCCGGCGCGCCCGGACAACCCAAGAAAAGCTTTTGCAACTTGGTGTCGTAGGTGGACCGAGCCTCCGGTGTGTTTGGTGTCATGTGATAGTTCCATGCCGGTGTGACGTTTGCCTCCCAAGCTTCGTAGTCGCTTTCTAGTTCGAGCGCGCTCTGTAAAAGTTCTTGCAAGGCCATGCGGTTGGTTGGTGGGTTTTGACTTTGCTTGGTTTCGTGCCATCTGGCATGTAGCATTGCCGCTCGCCATATTAGACGAATGACAAAGGCGTTGGAGTTCTTGTATAGACTTGGAAGTAATTCGTCTACTTTGACCACATCTCTCGTAGGAATTTGCGGGCGTCTTGCTGCCTGTAAGTTGCCTAATAGCTGTCGCAAGGTTAGCCATAGGCGGACAAAAGGTGTTCATCTGTGACGGCGATTACCAGATGTGCATAGATGACTTCGTAAAGTCTGGCTGATATAATGTCGCTGTAGAACTCCTCAACTGTCCGCAATTGAAGCATAGCATTTGCGCCTTGGTTGTGAGCCAAAAAGGTGCCTTTCCGCTGCACGCTGGTAAGATTCTGTTCATCATGTTAGAATTACGCGTACCATTAAGCTGTACCGAACGGACGTACCTCGTAGATGCCCATCAGATGTACTGAGCAAAGCGCAACATTCGTGGCTGCCTGCTTCTTGTCCGCGATTGCCTTTGTCAACATCGGCAGGGCCCTCCCTACGCATTCCTCACCTAGTGCCTGCGCATGAGAATCATTATAACGATTGGCGAAGTTGACGTAAGATACTGCGTCAACCGCTGTCGCGATCAATGAGTTCTCCGGGGCGTCTTGATACAAGAGCGGGATAAATGTCCACAGGGCTTCATCTGGTTGGTCGGCTGGTCGGTTCGGCGAGTCGGGCAGCACAAAGTCGTACACAAAGCGCTCAAAAGCTCTTCTACGAAAGTCCGGATTGAGCGACGGAGTGATAGTCAGCCGACTTAGATCGATGGTTGCGGACGCAACGCTTGATGATTCTTGAGCCGGGTCATCCACAGAGCCACCAGGAGAATGTACACTACCACTGGAAGAGCGCGTGTCATCCAGATGGGGTGGTGTTGACTCGTCGCTTGGTGGCGTTTTGATATAGGTGTTATTATAGGTGTTGCTGTAGGCGTTGCTACTTTCGGCAACGGTAGCACGTTGGTTTGACTTTGATCGCTTCCGCCATGACTCTTCTGCTCTTTGCGCAGCCGATGCCGTTTGGTTCCGAAAGAGGATGTCGGCTTGGTCTCGATACTTGCATTCATGACCCGCCTTGCTACATCGACTGCAAGCGGGTCTACCCTCATCGCACTACTCTGGCATCAGCCTTGTCCGTATGACCGGCGTTGCCCGGCACGTGGTGCAGCATGAAGAGCAGGGCAAATCGCAGAAGTAGACAGAAAGAGATGCGTACCTTGACTTTACGGGCTCTGCAAGCCTCGCATCCCTTACTGGGTCGGCCACGATAGGACATGCTTATGCTCTGGAGGCGATGAGGCGGTAAGACGAAAGGGCGGCAAGCTCCGCAGTCGCTGCTGTTCAGGCTCAGGTAAGGTTCCTACGAAGCAAACACTAGCGCGGGCATCCGATTGCACAGAACAAAGAACGTCAAGTCTAATAACTATGTCTCCTCTCCGGTCCGCGAATGTGCTGCGTGGTCATCCGAAGGGTCCTGAGCCAGAAAAGGCGTAGCGGCGATCAGGCTGAAACCCAGGCCACGCTTTTACGAGCTTGGAATGGAGCGCCCGGTGACTGGCGGAAGATGGACCATAAGGGTTGAATGGCAGAGATCGAAGGGCATGGGGTCAGGCCCGGTGCTCGGGAAAACGGTGCTGCATAGTGGGTTGATGTGCCGTAGACTGCATAACTGCGTCACAAGCGACAGGCATCTCTCGTTGCTGACTCAGGAATTAGTGGTGTCTTGGCGCTCAGCGGCCTCCCGCTTGCCGACTGCGACGATGCTGCAACACCAGACGAGGCGTTCAAGTCCACGCATGTTTCGAGGCACAGCCAGATAAGATTCAGACTTCTTAGTGTCGAAATTCTTACTCTTTCTGGTGTATCTATCCCCTCATCTATTCTGGACTCCAGTATTAGTCTGCAAGGTCGATGCAGGCCGCCTACTTTCGGAGCGCCTCAAATACGCCGACGAACAACTCCCGATACGCACCCGATCATCGCGAACACGCGATGCCAATGTTTCAACGGTCGTCTAGCAGGGAAAGATGGCATGTCATTTTCAACGGCTCCAGCGTTCGGAGGCCTTAAACCATGACATCAACTTGTCATTGGGCGTTGACAGCAATCAGTAATCGGCCCTCTTCCAACGGGCGACTAGTAAGATTGACTGGACCGCTCCGCGAATTTAAGGTTTGGAAACCATTATGAATTGCGGAGTATTCACCCAAGTCTCTCGCCTCTACTATGACGTGCCAATGCGCTTGGGTCTTGAACATTGCGAAGTTTTCTCACCGGTGCCGGAAGCATAAAGGGGTAATCGCATACATTAGGAGACTTTGTTTCACGCTACCCCGAGTTTCAATTTCGTCCACATTAACATCTGACAGGTGTCCGCACCAAAACCACAGGAGTAGCGAAGCCAACACAACGCACATGCACAGACAGTAATTTTCAACGAGGTGCGCTCATGCTATAGCTTCGCCAGCAGGTGCCGACCACCATCCTCACTTCCCAACACAATCTCCTCGCTGCGCCAGTCCGGATTGAACGTTACCTTGTTGAGCGGATTTCTGCGATGCGCCATGTCGAAAAGTTCCTCATATACCCTACCATCATTTCTGCCCAACGCACTGTTCAACAGCCAATCTGGTATCGACCAGGCGTCCACCAGCTTCACCGCATGTGGTCTCAATTCGGCCATAAGGTCGATGATCCCATCCTGCAACGCAAAGACCGACTCGGGCGGCACGGCGGCCGTCATTGTAAATGAGGAGGCGAATTGGTCGAGGGTGTAAAGCGCATACAGCTGGAAGCATGTGCGTAGGGCGGGCGATGCAGGCGGAGCTACGGAGGTGAGGCTGTTGTAGAAATTCGTGACAAGAATTTGCTCTGAGTATGCGCGGCTGAGGTTATGAAGTTGAATCATCAGACGTGTCCACGGCTTCTTCTCAACAACACGTGCTCGATAAGCGCGGTAGGAGAGATCAGCCGCACGCCACTGGAACACGTCGACTATACCTTGGTCATCTACAACATCGTCTTTCAAGACGTTCTGAGATAAGCGATGGTCTTTGTTGCGAAGATAAAACTGGAAGAGCTCGTCCGTTGGATCCTTGGCCGGCGAATCTGGGTCATTGACCGCATTCGACATCTTCTTGATGAGGTACGCAGCAACCTGCTGGGTAATCATCCAGTTGTCGCCCTCCACAGTTGGCTTGGAGAGGTAGTCACCGTTTAGCCCTACCAGCCCACTCCCACCACCGAAGCCATGGCCGCCCATTGCGCGTCGACAGGTCTCGATGCCATCCGCAGCAAGCGTCGTACACAGGCTCTTCAGTCCTGAGCTCGCACTGTGTAATTCCGCCAAAGGCCCAAAGTCGCCTTTCTCGATATTTTCTCTCGACTTATGGTACAGCTTGTACATGTACTCACCAGTATAATGCAACGCGAAAGTAGTCGCAAGCAAGGGCAAGATCCGTATCTGTACG